CATGTGGTGCTGGGGGATTGAACCGCGGTCCCTGTGCTTTTCTAAGCTTGTTCTAAGTAGGTGCTTTAGACCACTGAGCCATCTCACCAGCCCCATTTTTTTTTTTTTTAATATACTCAAATGACCTGGAAAAAATGGTTGGTTAGAAAACTGGCTTGGAAGCATCCCTGCATCCGTGCATTAGTTTTTGGTTTTATTTCTGGTACCAGGAATTGAATGTAGGACCTTGTGCTTGCTAAGCAGGCACGGTGCCACTGAGCTATATACCTGGCCCCACATATGTATTAGGATCATATATTTTGACTTTAATCCACTGAAGTAAATGCCACAACTGAAAGAGAATGTCATAAATTATACATTCTACTTGTTTAAAAAGTAGGCATAGGCGGGGCGTGGTGGTACATGCTTCTAATCCCAGCACTTACTTGGTAGGCTGAGGCAGGACAGACGACCTCTGTGAGTTGGAGGCCAACCTAGACTACAAAGTGAGTCTGAGTTCAGCCACCACAGTCTGGTGAAACCCTGTCTCAAAAAGGCAAACAAATTTTTATTAAAAAGTAGGGATAAGGCTGGTGAGATGGCTCAGTGGTCTAAAGCACCTACTTAGAACAAGCTAAGCTAAGCAAAAGGACGGCGACCGCGGTTCAATCCCCAGCACCACATGCCAGCCAGCCCGCCCCCTGGTGGGCTGAGCTGGCCACACACACACACACAGTAAAATAAATAAATAAATTTAAATTAAAAAAATTTAAAAAAAAAAAGTAGGGATAAGAGTGAGCGACACAGCTCAGCAGACTAAGTGCCTGCTTAGGTCAGCACAGGGATCAGCGTTCGATCCCTGGTACCGCAGTGTCTGCTCTACCCTCAGGTGTGCTGAGCCGGAGACTCAGTCTGGCGTGGTGGTGCACATCTGGAATCCCAGCACTGGGGAGGCTGATAACAGGGGGATCACTACAAGTCTGAGTTGCATAATGAGACCCTGTACCAAGTACACACACACGCAAAA